CCGTTTGTAATGCTTCTTGAACGGAAAAATCTCGGCGATCGCTTAGCGACTTCGAACGGACAATTCTAACAGGAATGCGGAGAATTTGCGAATCAAAATTCCCTTCGAAAGCCGCTGGCAACCGCGCCGAGACCCTCCCTGTGATCTCTTCCCTAACGTTTCCCAATCTTCTCAAGGTGTCTCGTGTTTCGCCTCATCGTCAGCCCAGCCGTGGATCCTTCCTGCGTGTCCTAGAGAGAACACCCGATGTCACTTGTGCGCCGCCTCATACGTCAACCCGCGCCGGAAAAACATCGAACCAGCACCAACGCGCTTCTTCCGGTAGCTAGAGCTCCTGAAGAACCTGTCATCACCCTCAGCCATGGACCGCGACCTAGGCGGCGGGGTTCGCCTGGCATCGCACTGGCTCGCCACGTACATGATCATGTCGTTGAAGTTCGGCAGGAATTGAGGATTGAACAACGAGAGGATCCTCTCGTTCAGCTCGCGAGGATCTCGGGTGGGCACCATGTAATGATCACGGGCACTGGAGGTCTCGGCTTGGTTGTAATCGGCGAGCATCCGCCGGTGTCCGCGGCACAGATCGTCGAGGCTGTTCGCGCTGCTGCTGCTGCAGTCATGGATTTCGTTGGCAGGCTCCGTTAACGCGGTCTCGGTGTACTCGCAACCGTGGTACTCGTCGTACCGCCTCCTCTGGTCAATCGCCATCCGGGAATCGTAAGCGATCTCCCTGGCGAAGCCAAGATACTCCATGGATCTCTGATCGCTGGCCACGGTCTCGTATGCGTCCTCACCGATCGACGGGTCGTCGATCCTCGCCGGGTGATCCCCCGCGGCGTCGTTCTCGATGACCGCGGTGGCGTCGTCGTTCTCGTCGTCCTCGTCGTCGTCGTCGTCGTCGTCGTTGCGACCGTCCGATTCCGCGAGATCGGAGGAAGAGGAGAAGGATGATGAGCCGGAACCCGTCGGGTCCTGCGGCAAGCCTCAGACGGCCCTGTGTCGTCTTCTGTATCATATGTACGTCTTCTTCACCTTCTGCACCGGCTTGTTCTCCGCCGAGGAGTTCGCGTTCTTCCCGTTCGGGTTCTTCGGCGGCACGTTCAGCACCAGGTTTATCGACTTGTTGTTGAAGCCGGGCGACTCCGAGCTCTCGGTCAGCCGGTTCAGTTGCTGTCGCTGCTCCGAGGGCTCTGGATACGGAGCACCGCGCAGCCTCTGCGAGAACCAGAACCCGGACGCGAACCCGGCCACCAGGGAGAAAAAGCAGGTCCCTATCAGGGCGCCGGTCAGTGTTTGGGCGGAGTACACCACTGGCGTCACGATTACGTCTGCAATAAAGAGAGAATTAGCACCCGGGAGGACACGGTACGACGACTTATTGCTTCTTGCGGATTGGAGGTTCTACTGGTAGCAAGATTACAGTGCTGGGTAAAATAGGGGTGCTTTCGGAGATTAGCAGCACTCAAGTAGTTTAGAGTTTTAGTTTGTTAGTAAGACAGTTTTGGCTAGTTTTGTCTCGTGTTAATGGGTAATACTGGAGAAGTCACTGAGAGAAGAGAATTATAGGAAAAATAAGATGAATTCTGGTAATTCATAAGTGATTCTTGCTAATTTGTGTATGTTCGGCAGGAAGTTAAGAATCGTTTTTCTGTTTCACCCTCTGTCTTTTAGATATTTAATTTTGAGAAAATATCTAATTTTCAACTTTGAAAAGTTTGAATCGCGATGTTTTTTCAAAATTAAATTCTTAGAAAACTTAGGGCGAGAGAATAATTTAGGATTCGTATCTGAAACTAGAACCTTTGCAATCGTCAATCAATAGGTATTAAAGATTAAACTTTGTGTTTAATGGTGTTATTCAAAAACAAATATCTTACTTATCGGAATTTCACTTTCTCTTCATGTTCTAAATAGCATTTGAAATATCTTTATTCTATTTTACCCAGCTCTGTAAGAAACTTAAAATAAGGAACGCAAATTGTCAGGTGTGAAAAATGGTAGTGTAACCTGAGAGACTTCCGACGAATTGTGCCTCTGTTGCTTATCAATAATTCTATCTTTATTATTCTTCGATAGACACTGGTGATCGAGAAGTCAATCTCGCCGAGGACTGTTTTTTTTCCGTGCTCATCGATTTAATCCCGCGCAATTAGAGACTTTATTTACTTTGTCATAAATGCAAATCACTTGATCACCGGCGAAGGGCCAATGCATATTCATGCGTTTATTGAAACTTTGTTCTAACCGTACTTTTTCGTGCTTTCCTTTGTTGTTGTGTAAGTGTCCATATTAAAATCGCTGAACTGCAATTTGGTCTCACTCGATTTTACTCATTTATTCCTTCTTAAACTTCGTTCGCATTCACCGTCAAGCTTAATACGTACTTGGAAACATTGTTACGCAACATGGTACCGCAACTGTTTGTATGCTGTTGCAAACTACCCAGGAACACTTCAGGGGTTTCTAACAAAGGCAAGCAAAATTAGCTAACAAATTCAGTTGAATTTGTTTGAGCCGTGTAACGATGGGGAACATGAAAATTGAAAAATTTACATACATCTACTTGGACTGCGAATTATGTATCGCGTTAATAATATTTTTCCGTCAGTTATTATTTCCTCATTTTATTGTTGCTTTTATATTATATGTTACTTACATGTTAAAACGACAAAATAAATATACAGGGTACGTCAAAAATTACGTCAGCACATTTATTTATTGTGAAATTATGATAAATGTCACTTCTAATCGTTTTCTATTGAGAGCTAAACGACAACGCGTATTGATAAATAAGTTGAGACTTCAGATATTTAACAATTCACATAAACGACGTAGTAAATGTCTATAGAGGTTAATAATTATTCTCGAAGGTTATAAATCACTGGGAGAAGTTTTAATGCACGATACAAGTGATCTAATTCGGTAAAGCTATAACTTGAAGAACTACATTTCAATATGTTTCTGTACTGTAATGGATAAGAACATGAATAATAAACGAAAGATTTATTATATTTGTAACTGTGCACACATATTATATATATGTACTACGGTTTCTAATTCACCCTGTACTTATATATATATTATGTTACTAATTACTCTTGAATAAACAACTAGTAATATTTTATAGCATTTATATAAATTCGAAGCCATAAAACACTTTCGTCTATAGAAATACCTGATTCGTGTATCCTGCAATATTAAACTACAATTGTTTTACACAAATATCGTCATTTTCATCTAATTTGTTTCGGTACCTTGTTCAGTAACATTGTATTCAAACGTGTACCGAGCTTCACGTTGGATCAACGGTCTTCGATGTAAAGAAATCGAACAACGAAAATTTACTCTTCGCGGAGGATCATAAAGAACAATTGGAAATTAGTATTCAGAGGCAATTTATTCGGATAACAAACGAGAAATAAAAATAAGAAATGAAATTTTATCCGAATACAATTGTATTTGGTGTTAATGAATAAATAATTAATTGAATAAGAATTTATTCGAATAATTATTTGTTCATAGTAACTGCAAAGTGTTACGTTAATACACACATATAGTTCTTCTCATGTTACCATCTACAGCTTTATTTTCCATGAAACGTTGAATCTGAAAATCTGCATTTCGATAAATTACTTACAATTCACACACTGAAGAAATTTAAAGTAAATAAAGTGTCACACCGAAGAAACGCATTGAATCAGTTCAATGTTCAACACTCTCGTAATTCGTTCAAAATAATTTGCACTGTTATTCGAACAAATTATCCAAATAAATTGGAATAATTCATAGCGAATAACGAGCAATCGTTATCCAGACGAAACGCGTCACTAACAAAAATTCATACAAAGAAATAGTTCCTACAAAATTAAATCAACACGATCCTCTCGAAAAATACAATTCCATAGTTCGACTGCTATCATCAGACGACCAACCATCCGCGTAACCATATGCACACGTTTCTTGGGTCCTTGTTCACGTACTTGAATGGCCTTTTAACAGAACTAGGTGTCGGGTGCACGGGGAATGACAGTGCGACTAATTACATACAACAAGATGAGCATAGAATGCGTGGAGTTAGGACACAGATCGTAATACGTTAACAAATATCCTCGGAGAGTTGCGATTGTAACGTATATAACCAGCTCGAACCTTGAGGTAAAAACGGGAATGTGTTTACTAGTTAGTGCACGTTATATTGCATAGGTGTGTGTAAGTACATGTGTGTGAAACGAAGAGTGAATGAGTGAGTGAGTGCGTGGTGTGTATCATGATATCAGGGCTAATGAAAAAGAGGATGGAAAAAAAGACAGAAACAAAAATTAATGGTATCCATTCTATGAGATGTGGGTGGACCACCTGGATATTGCGCAAATGATTACCTTGAGGCTCGTTAGCTCGTGGCTGCGTACGACCGTACTGATTTTCTCGATCCAGCTCGATGACGATTTCATTGTCCCGTTCATCGGGCTGCTCGCCGCGACCGATTTCGGGCGGAACCGCTGGTTGCACGGGCTTCGCCATCTCTGAAGCAACATTTCACCAATTTGATGATGGGGGACACAGATGGTGGACAAATATCGTGTTAAAAAGGCAAGACAAATGATGCTCCGAACGTAAATAATGATCGCACACGCTTCCATTTTTCGAAGGAGATCCGATTTCGCGCTGGTTTGCATTAGACTGAAAGAAACACGTGTTCTCGGAAGTCGTGCGTCGATCCGTTCGACGAGACTTCTGAGAAACTGATTTATGAGTTATATCATTGTTGGATGGTGAACCATCGTAGATGTGTTCACATTATCTGTATTTATTGATACTCCTTTAGAAGCTGATAACGTTTGAACTATGAGTATAAAAGGAATACTAAGAAATTCTCTGATTAAACCTTATTCATATCATTACTTCGAAGTGAAGCTAGATTTCACTAATTAACACGTTAATTACGGGATCAGCAACTACGGTTAATAAGCCCGTAAAATGGAAGTAATTTATTCACTGATACAGAAATTTATAAAGATATATATTATAATAATGATTCTTTTGATTATCTTGAAGGTCCTTACAAAATTGAATTTGCTTAATGCGTAGTCATAAAAATGAATTCTAGAGAAAAATGAAACTGATAATTGTTGCATATACATTAATTCCATAAGTTTCATCGAACTATTATAGAATATTTTACTCTTTTATTAAACAGATACATGACATTTATTTGATTTCTTTAAAAAATCGATTCGCTTCCAATAATAATCTATTCGAAATAAAGTAATTAAACGTCCGATAAACTTTCAATATAAACGATAACCGCGAATTTGATACTGTACAGCGAAATGAATGATTTCGAATGTCGGTGTACAGACGACTAATAAAAGGTTCACTTTGTCCAATCCAATCCTGTGGGATATTATATTACGGTCGTTAATCCAAGCGAAACAAAAAGTTACACACCCCGTCAATAAATTTCGTTAACAATTAGTGGACATGAATGTGTCAATGTAATCGCACCCGGTGAATCGGTTAGTTACAGGGAAACGAGGAATTCAGCTGCATGAAAGAGAACCGTTTCAGCTCCGTCATTAAAAAGCCGCCTGAAAGGATCTCGTAATCCTAATGGCATGTGCTACCGAGGGAGCAGCATACTTCGGCTTCAATGGTGTGCCGCGTAAAATGTCACGCGTACAGACATACGTAGACACGCAAAGTGGGCAGGAAGAGGCCGTTAGCAGTGCGATATCATTGGCGGAGTATACAGGGTGGATCACCTGGCATTAACATCGCGATTTATGTC